AGTCCGATTCTCAAGTTTTTCCACAGTTTCAGTTTCAAATAATGTTTTCACGACTCATTGGTTTTCACAATATCAAGTTTAGAAAAGTTAGGGTGTGATATCTAGATTCTGCGAAGTTGGTCAGGCAATTAAATGAGACGACGAGTGCCCCGGGCGTGATAGAATATTTATTTGTCAGTGCAGAATTGTGACCGCCAGCCCCGGGGGGGGGGGGGGGGGGGGGGGGGGGTCTTTAAAGGGGTTATGACACGCCAAAAATAAAATATTATATAACTATACTGCTAGGATCCATTTTATGTTCCTATAATCCTGCTAAATTTGTTTTGAAAAAGGCGCGATAATTTCGTGGATAAATCTATTTATATGCGCGCCCCTCGGAGGGGCAGATCCGGGCGGACCTGGAGGTTTAATGACGTAGGCAGCCTCCAGCGTGGTGTCTAATTGCACGCACTCACAGACTTGGCTCTCTTGGCATATTGAGCCTCAGCTTCCTCGTTTACCTTCCACGTTTCCAGCATCTGGTCCGTGACGATTACGTCTACGGCATCGATCGCCTTGTCGAAGTGTTCAACATTGATCGCAGCAGCGATGAGAGTGATTGCTATCAAGAGATGTTGGAAGCTGTTCATTTTGACTGCGACCCGTTGGCGACGAGCTCCAGCGACGACGAGTTCGCCGTGGTCACCGTCGTCCGGGAATGTCTCGCAGACGCATGCAGGGTGGAAGGTCAACCGGCCGGGGGGCGAGAGCGAGAATAGTTTACAGTTTACCGAGCTGTTTGAGCGGTTTTGTTCGTACCGCGACGAGAAGAGCTTGGGTGATCATGGGGGCGCCTAGAATGGGAGAGTGTTCATGGTCACGTGGTTTATGGACACCATGGTGTGACTAACTTGAGCAGTGTTGCCTTGTCGCCAGATGAAAATTATAAAAATTCGTAAATTGAATATTGCAATTATCAGAGCTCTAAAAATTGCGTAACTTGGTGTATATACTAAGTAGCCTATGAGCATTCCATTTCAAGAATAATCTATCCGTTTAATTTTCGTGTCATAACCCCTTTAACCTGCATCACGCAGTAGTGATTACACGAACACACTGTTTTACGAGACTCATCCAGTTCGAAACGGCCAGGGGCGAGCAGGAGGTTGAGGCTCAGAAGAACCTTGAGGCGACCTGGCAAACTAGCTCGCCACCCCTTGCACGCTGGTAGTAATCCGATCCGGTGAAGTTTATAATTGTCCTGGAGGTTTATTTTCTGGGACGGAGGAATCGCCTCGCAAAAAGCACAAAAGCCGACACTACTCGAGGTCGAGGAGCGTTCTACCATACAAGTGGTGTCGGAAGAGGAAAAACGGGGGGAAAGAGGGTAGCGGACGGGGGGGGCTTCAGCCTCCTTCTCTCCCTTGCAGGTATTTCGGACCGTTAAAGAAAACAATACGGGGAAAGAGGGCGTGGTTGAGCTTATTTTAATCTGAAATTATTTATGCATATGTGTAGCTACTGTCGCTCTTCACTGCATAAAAGGTTGCGTCGATGGTCATTGTTAGAAACTTGTTGTCAGAAGGCACTACTCGTCACATGCTTAGTGGTTCGGAAGTTCAAAGCTGTCTTTTCGACCTAAATACCTGTGCGGATAGTAAAAAAAAAAAAAGAATAAATGCGGGAATAAAAAGCAGGAGAAAAAAAAACTATCAAGAATTCGTCGGAAGTGTTATATTCTTGCATATTCAGAGGTTCAGAACTTCGAAACAATTTTCTTTTACCAAAATGTGTACAGGCTAGAAGAAACACGTCCCAGGAACGTAAAGCGAAAAAAAAAAAAAAAAGTTTTCTTTTAATGACGTGCTGAACTTAAACACTATTAGATATGTACTGTCTGTGGTGTTAATTTAAATGCAATACCTCAAACAACTTAGACGAAAATAAATATCAAGTTTAGGTCATAATTGCATGCAGATACATGTTTGGACATTTCTTCGAAACTCACGTTGAATAACAATCATCACATCTTAAGACGGCACTTACCTAGGCTATACATAGATTATCCTTAAAAAAGTATACCATAAATAGCTCCGGCTGCAGCGTGCTTCAAATCTGGCACAAATGATAATCGTCAAAAACCCGTCGTCCTTCCTCGCCCCTTCAGGGATTTATTTCTTTAAACCTAAGCATGCCAGAACATTGAAATAAACGACATTGTCTTTTGTAAGGAACGCAGCACCGCGTGTAAAAGTTCCAGAAAAAAAAAAATTACGAATGTACCCCACTACTTGAAATCAAATGAAACCGTCCGCCGTTCTTTCGAAGTTCGACAAATGTCGAACTTTTACCCTAAAAGTTCGAAGTTCGTCGAACTTCTGACATTTCAGAATTCGAAAGTTCGAAACTTTTCGAAAATTCGAAATTCGTCGAATTTTTTGGTCAGTCAAGTTCGAAAGTTCGACAAGCATCGAACCTGGCAGCGCAATAAGTTCGAAAAAGATCGAATTTTTTTAGCGTAATAAGTTCGACGGTTCGAAAAGCGTCGAAGTTCTTAGCTTAACAAGTTCGAAAATTCGACCTCCGTCGAATTTTACGATATAGACAATTCGAAAAATCGAAAACTTTCGAACCTTTCGAACCGCTTGATTCGATCATCGAAACTTCGATTCGAAAAAAGTTCGCGGCATCCCTAGTTACAACTGCAGCTAGCCCATGGGTACCGTTCTGCGTCCTGCACTGCATGTAGTTCTGAGAGCCATGTGAAAAGGCAGGTGTGACCTTTTTAGGCACTGTCACTTTGTTTTGTGCATTTTCTGCCGCTTTTTCGGGGCAACTTCTTTTTAAGATTCAAGTATTAGAAAACGGACTCAAGTGAGAGAGGGGGTTTTCTGAGAAGACTGGCTTCTTTGCTAAACCATTGGGACTGGTATTATATCTATAGAGTTCATGTACACCTTACATTATGTACTTTTCCTTTAGTTTTATTTTACTTGGTACTTACCGTATACTTCGATGTTACACGACAGCCACTAAAAATGAGGAAAAAACAAAAAAAAATGTTGACTTGTCGGTTTTCTTATTTTGTTTTTTTGCAATATGTTGGAAGAGTAAATGATGTGGTCGGTCATTCATGTTATTTTTCCTACACGCACGTCCAGCCAATGTTTACATAAAGCCCCAATTGCCCCTTAGCAACGGAAATAATCTGTGCGACAGACTAGGCGACAGCATTGTGGACAAAAACTGGCCTGATTATATCTGCCATGTTTAGAAACTACATTTGATGTCAGGTTATGAATTCATTGGCAAATTGTCCCCAAAAGAATCTACATCACTCTGCCAGTCAATCGCTGCCGTCAGTTGTCGTGACGTCACGTCCAGCAAAGAAACTACAAACTAGTATTCTTTTTTTTTTTAATGGCAGGCCTCTGCTGTTGATGCCACATAGCACGTCAACACTCAAGCAATTCTTCCGCTCTTGACCTCTCCGGTTTCACCTTGCGAAGTCGTGACGGTGTCTGCTTTTGTTTGCGGTATTTCCCATGTGTCGACGTGAGAAGGCAGCGGTTGTATCGCCAAGGAAGTAGCAATCAATCTGTGGATTTGCTCCAGCGGCACAGTGTTACAAACAGGACTCTTTCACCAAAGGCAAAGTCTAACGACTCTCCCTACAGTTGCCAGCATCGTGCAGCCGTGAATGCGTAACTTGTCCGAACGCTTTTATGCTTTCGTCTGTGTACAGTGACAAAATGACTCGCTGAATGCGAAATGCCGTACAGCAAACTACAGTAGAGTCTCATTAATTCAAACTCCAGGAAGTCACAGATTTTAGTTTGAATTATCAGAAATTCATCTAAATATGATACTAGATGGCATTATGATTTGTTACATGGATAGCTACTCAGACAAAGCAGATTTTTGCCAGTTTCCTCTACATAGGCCTAATTATAAGTACAGGCATAACACATTAGTGAAAGAGCTCTGACATTAAGTTTATTCATCCGGCAAAAAATTTGTCGATTGTGGACTGTTTAGTCAGCACATACGATCTCAAAATAAAATTTTCAATACCAGCCAATGCAAGTAGCTCTTTACGGGACTCTTCCTTTGCAAACAGAAAGTTCCGGAGCTGAGCGATGTGCTCAAAGCTATGGCTGTGACAGTTGGTAGTGGGTCATCCCTTTCTTCATCGTCATCTTCACTCTCACTGCTGCACTCTGCTGGCATTACTTCCTGTACTATGTCCTCTAATGAGTCATCACGACAAACACACACATCATCGTCGAAACTAGCATATTCCGCCTGCTCGGCGTTCACATTATGTGCTTCAAGGCCAGAAAGCATGATGCCAGTGAGCTGGTCCTCATCCTCGATGTCGTCTTGGTCATCATTGTTAGTCTTGAAGCACATAATGTGAACGCTGTTTTCCGCTAATGTGTGCCCGCTTGAGCCCCGTTGAGTGTGCTTCTTTATGAGCACCGGTGCACTGAAAGCACGCTCCACAGGTATTGCTACTCTGTGGTGCACCGGTGCTCGGAAAGAAGCGCACTCAACGGGGCCGCGAGAACAAAAAAAAGATATGAATTAAGCGTAAACGCCATTCGGATTAAGCGGCTTATAAATACATTAAAAACATAGCGGGACAACCAAATTTTTCAAATCTGTTTGAATTATCCGGAAGTACAAAATATCCAAGCTTCAATTATTGTGAGCCTATTGTATCAATCACTTTCTGTAGCAACTTTGCGCTTAAAATTGCAATAAAGTGATTTTTAGGCAGAATTCATTTTTTCGGACTGCTCGATTATTCTGAGTTTTGCGCTATCCCTATCGAGTCCGAAATATTGGTCGGTGACTATCAAACTTAAACACAATGGTTACACACCACAGGTCCCGAGGACCATGACATCAATGATCTTGTTCAAGGCAGCAGCGGAACACTATGGGCGGGACCCTGGGTCGACGCACCGGCCGGCTCATGGCTGCTGTCCTGTACCCTGCACGGCACTGCGTGTGGCTTAACTGGCCAAGCAGAGGGTCATCGCGTGACTTTTATGAGGCGTCGCTAGCCATTGTAAGTATATTTTTTGACACTCATGTCTGGTGATGTACTTTGGTGCTGTACAACGGAATACATTTGGTGGCAGTTCAATCTTGCCAATTAGGCCATTTTGAAACGGAACACATTTAGTGGTGGCTCGGTTGAGGTTTCCTGGCTTGGCAATCTTGCAGCAGTGTCTGGACTCAACACAAACCTTTTTGTACTTCATTGTCAGGGATAGTGTAATTTCTGCAATACTGTCGAAGCAACTTCTGCACGCGAACAAGATGCAAGACGAAGCAACATGCTTGTGCCCAGTGCTTGTGCCCGGTGTACTTCACGAGTTCATTTCGCCGTTGCCACTCCACGCGTCCATGCACTCGCTGCACCTTGAGAGTCAAGTGTGCACCACAATGCACTCCCGTCATGCAGCACTCAGGAGAGGAACGAGAGCAGACAACTGGGGTTTTTCCGCCATAAGAGACGAGAGAACCTAAAAAAAAAGAAAGCACGTCCCATGGGCAACAAAATCGGACGCGAGCTGTGCTATTCATTCTGTGAAGCAAGCAATCGACAACCTGTGCTTCATTTGCAAGTTTTTAGTCATTTCGTTGCCAGACAGACGTTGAATTACATCAGCGGATAAGGATAGGTTCAAAACAAACGTCAGCTACCGCGAGATCTCTGTCGCAATCCGTGCGGGGGTGAAAAGTTGGGACGTTAGTTGACAAACCTCGCCCGCCCCCCTGTCCATCACCTGACCCCATTCTGCGAATGTGGCTATAAGCGAGGGAGCATGATCATGTGGCAAAAGATTCTCAAGCGCGACTGGCCCAAGGAGCACATAGTTTCCACAGCACTGTCAGTTTAGGGGTCCACGGAGGATATTTGTGCGTAGTACTGTAGAAGCCACAGGCCGGAGTGGGGGGGGGATTGGCAAATTTCGTCCGAATGTTTAGCGAAGAGCATCAAGGGGCTAATTTTCCAAGGGAAGAATGGTGATGTGCGGGTACAAAAATAAGGGTCCAAGCACTGTGAGCAAGAGGAGAGTTCTTTCTTTTCCTCCTCTTGAACTGCTAGCCGTATACTACCTTTAGGTCTACCCACTAGTCATTCCAACCAGAGCTCTGTGTTCTGACGTCCACACACATTCTCGTCTCCCCCTCTCTCAGTGTTTTGGTGCATACTCAAATGCTCTGCATCATTAGCAGATTTTTTTTTTTTTTAAAGGAGGGGGAGTTGTTTTTTTTTTCAGGTTAACTTTTTCTTAATGAAAAATCAACATACCCCAGCTTTTCTTAGGAAGAAATTATTAGTTTTTTGGTGACATAACAAATATTAGGTAAACAAAACACATCTGGGCTGCATTTTGCCCGTGAAATAAGTATCTCCTTGCAAACTACCCCTTCTCCTCTCTCCACCCCACCCAGCCTGACCTATAAATTCACCCCTGCTCTTCATTGCCCTGCATGTTTAGGTCAGATGTTGTTCCTGTTGACCTGATGGACTCCTTTGTTCTCTTCATTCATCATAGGTTTCAAACCGTCCTGAATCGTGGACCAAGCCTTGCAAGACTTCACTCTTATGCCCTGTCCTTTTTGATGGATCGGGACTTGCCATCTTCCCTTCTCGTGGCTCCCTGTCGTAATTAAATAAATTGTATTTTTTTCTCATGACAGTGCACACCTACTGGTAAACGTCACAAAAAGAGTGTGGTAAATCCATGCCACAGATTACTGTGAAACATGCGAGAAGGTAATTGTCGTGTTCCGAGGCGAGAGGAAGGTCAAAGCCCGGAGCTGCAAACCAATACCCGTGAGTCCTTTATCGAACCTTAAGCGTATCTGCCAGTCACGCGCATCTCGGACCCTCACACGTGGCCCAGCCAGCTCACCGTCTCACATGCCACCAGACTTCGTCTTCTTTATACGACGCCTCCCCCTTTCAGCCTCATCGTCCATAGCATTCCGGTGGTCGTGAAATTCTCCCACTTCGTGTTATGGTTGCTTGAGGATCGTTCTCCCAGTAACCGGCCGGCTGGCTGTCGCTGTCGGGAATCGCGGGCTGGAGATGGTGCCGTGTGCGTCGTATCGTTCCTTGGTCGGTTTCTACAAGGTAAGACCAAGGTGGTCCGGCCGCTCCCGCCTGAATCCACACTGCTGCATGTGGGTGTAGCTCCCTGCCATTTCTTGTACGGCGGCGCCTATTATAGTTAGACGCCTCTCTTGTCTTCCGTTTCCTGTATCATTGCCGATACCTCCTGGAGTGTTGCCAGAGAGGTACTGGGCGCCGTTGGAAGAGTGGAGTGTAACTTGAGCCCCATCAAAAGTTCGGCAGGGGAAAACCCTTTGGGCCCAGGGATGGTTCGGTAGGCCAGAAGAGCTTGTGCTGAATTCAAGGTTTTCTTCGCAGTCTGCACCGCTCTCTCCGCTTCTCCGTTACTCTGGGGATAATACGGGCTTGAAGTAACCAGTTCGACTCCCCACTCTCTGGCGAATCACCGGAACTTGGTTGAGCCAAACTGGGGACCGTTGTCGGAGCGGATGACTTCTGGGCAACTGTGTCTAGTGAAGTTCTGGCTGAAAACCTTGATAATGTCCTCTGTGGTTGTTCGAGGTATTTCTTCAAGTTTGAAGAACTTCGAGTAGTAGTCGACGATGACTATATACTTCTTCCCCCTGAACTGGAAAAGGTCCGTTCCAATTTCCTGCCAGGGACGATCGGGTAGTGGAGTCTGAAGAAGGGGTTCTGTATGTGGTCGTCTATATTGCCGACAAGTAGGACGGCGACTCACATAGTCATGTATTTTCGTGCTTAAGCCAGGTCACCAGACGGAGTCTCTGGCTCTTGCCCGGCATCGGACAACACCCTGATGGCCGCTGTGCAATCGCTCCAAGACTTCTCCTTGCAGACTAGGCGGGATCACCAGCCGGTCGTTACGCATTGGTAATCCCTGCACGACCGAAAGGTCTGCGGCGAGACTCGCGAATTTGCTTAAGTTAGGAGGAAGTTTGTTCCTTGCCGGCCATTGTTTTTCTCTGTATTCCATAACCCTTGATGTGGTTGGGTCTTTGGAAAGCTCTGCCTTCAGTCTGGACAAAAATGAGGTAGAGGCTGGAAGGAGCTCCAATGTTAGCATTTCATACTCGTGAACCAACGTTTTCTCTGATCTCCACGGTGTGCCTTGAGTCTGTAGACCGGCGTGTGGTCGGTAGGGGTTTCCTGGAGAAGACATCCGTGGTGAACATCTCTTTGCCCGGTACGTGGGATATTGCAAAGTCATACTCAAAGATGCGCATCCTCAGACGCTGTAGCCTTGGTGTCATTTCGTCAAGACGTTTCGTTGTGAACAGTGGCACCAGAGGCTTGTGGTCTGTTTCGATGTGGAATCTCTTTCCTACCAAGTAGGTCCGGAAATGTTCACAGGCCCATACGATGGCCAAAGCCTCCTTTTCAATTTGGGCGTATCTCTGCTCCATTTGTGTCGTGGCTCTCGATGCGTATACTACTGGGCGTCTTTTGCCGTTTTCCTTTTGGAGCAGAACCGCCCCCGGTGCAAACGAAGACGCATCTGCCGACAATGTAAGTTGTGCATCCGGTTTATAGAGTGTGAGCACAGGAGTCTTGCATAGGAGATCTTTGATGTTAAGGAATGCTTCTTCCTGAGGCTCGCTCCAGAGCCAGCTAGCATCCTTGTGTAGCAGATCTCGAAGTAGATTAGGTTTCTCGGCTATGTCGGGAAGAAATTTCCCAAGGCGGTTGACCATCCCCAAGAATGATCGCAGGTCTGCCAAGCTTCCAGGTGCCGACATCTGGACGATCGCTTCCGTTTTCTTAGGGTCTGCCGCAATGCCCCTGCTGTCCAGAAGGTGGCCCAGAAACCTGATGCTCTTTCTGGAGAACTCGCACTTTGAGGTGTTCAGGGTCACTCCAGAGTCGTGGAGGCGGCGGTGTACCAACTCAAGATTTATGTTGTGTTCCCTTTTGTCACGACTGAAAACTAAGATGTCATCCATATGACATACTTGACCTGGGATTCCCTCTAGGATCCTTAGCATCTCCCGCTGATAGGCTTCGGGCGCTGTCGCAATGCCAAACGGGAGTCTTTTGAATTGAAACCGTCCCACTGGTGTGATAAAAGTCAGTTCCTTTGACTCTGGGGCTAGTGGTGCTTGCCAGTAGTCGGCATTGGCATCTAGTTTGCTGAATACTGTCACCCTGGCGAGTCTTGCCAAGCTCTCCTCTACGGTTGGCATGATAATCCGCTCCGGCACCAGTTGCGGGTTTAGCTGTGTATATTCAACGCAGATACGAAGAGAACTGTCTTGCTTTTTAGCCACCACCATGGGTGCGCACCATGCTGCCGCATGGTCGACTTTTTCAATAACGTCCATGTCTTGCATCCGTTGCAATTCCTGTTGAGTGCTGGGTAGCAGAGGTAGAGGTACCCGTCTCGGGTATGTGATTGCGAATGGTCTCGCGTCAGGGTGAAGCGCGATCTTGTACTTGGAAAAGCAAGGGGTACTTTTTACGGAGGTGGTCATACTCCGGCTTGCTTTCGGCTTTGACTTCGTTCAAGCTAGGTAGCACCTGAAGGGCTTCAATTGCAGGCCGCCCCAGCAGTGGGTGTTTTAGCTGGTCGGACACATAGATGATTTCTTTAGTAGTGCGCCCATTCCAGGTTACCGTCGCCGTGAACTTGCCTAGCGTGTTCAGCGGAGTGTGGCCTGCTCCATAAAGATCCGTCCCTGTTGTCTGCAAAGTTGCAAATGTTGTCGCGTCGCACATATTGGGAGGGATAGCTGTGACGTTTGCCCCCGTGTCCACCTTGAATGTGATGTCTTGGTTGTTTACTTTGGCTGTAATGTACCAGGCTTCCCCTGGTACATTGCCCGTTGCTTGAATGTACGAACTCGCCGAGGAAGACTTCATTCAGTCCTTGTCTGTGCTCTTGTATACTGAAATTTTCTCGAGTGTGTTTGGAAAAACAGACGCTCTCAAAGTGGCCTAGCTTTTTGCAGGCGTTGCACTTCTTGCCTTTTGCGGCACATTGAGACTTGGCATGTTTCCGTGAACTGCCACACCATCGGCACGTCCATGGCGAATTATTGGACAGGGCTTGGAGAGGCAACATGTTCGGACGTCCAAAGTCCTTGTTCTCGCTTTTTGTTTTCGGCTGTCTTCCGAGTTCTTCAAGAATGTCGCCGTCTGTCTTTGTGCTGCGTAGCTCAGTCTGTTGGCGCTTTACCGTCTGATGTTCAAGCTGCCGTAGTCGCGCTGCAGTGTAAGCTTAGCATCGAGCTGGAGTTTCTCACTTAGTTTCCTGTCCAGGAGTCCGACGACAATGCGGTCCTATATGAGCTCGTCCCGTAAAGGGCCGTAGTCACAGGTATCCGCCCATCTGTGCAATGCCGTGATAAAGACCTCTACAGGCTCGTCCAGCTCTTGCTTTCTAGAATTGAACTTCGCTCTCTCAAAGATGACGTCCACCTGCGGAATGAAGTGCTTGTCGAACTTAGCTTTGACTATGTCGAAGTCGTTCAGCTCCTCTTGTGTCATCTCGAGCGAAGAAAGGACATCCTCTGCCCATCGCTTAGATGAAGGTTTTCACCTGAGTCGAAGCGTCGCAGAGATGAAGCCCCGAGATGATCCGGTAGCGGTCCCACTGAATGATCCATCCCTTCCAGTCGCTCGGATTCCTGAAATCCAGCTTCTCCGGTAGCTCGACCGCAAAGGGGTTGAAGAAGGAAGGTCCTCCGCTGGCCTGGGAGATTGAAGCCCTCGAACCGTCTGCATTGCTAGTCGTGGCGTAGATCTAGCAGCGGCTCGAATCTTCTTTGCTGGCCATTCGGTCGAACTGCAGAGTTTGGTGCGGCTTATCAGGTCCCGAGAAACGATGGAGGATTGTTCAGTATCCCACTGCTGCCACCATGTCGTGTTCCGAGGCGAGAAAAAGGTCAAAGCCCGGGGCCGCAAACCAATACCCGTGAGTCCTTTATCGAACCTTCAGCGTATCTGCCAGTCATGCGCATCTCGGACCCTCACGCGTGGCCCGGCCAGCTCACCGTCTCACATGCCGCCAGACTTTGTCTTCTTTATACGACAGTAATTATACAAAAGATGAAGCTCCGAAAAGTTTGATGAAAAGAAGATAGCTGTCCCCGTTTAATTTTTCTTGCCACCTTAGCATGCTATGTCCGAAGTATTTCAGCTTATCATGGCATTGACTTTTGACCATTCACACTTTCAAGGAAAGGCTATCAGCAAGAAGGGTTCCCAGGTCTGTTCTGTTTGCATTTAATTACTGAGAAAAGGTTTATGCGGAGTGCAGGTTCTGCTTTTTTTTGCAGGGGTTGTAGTGACGTTGAAATGCCAAGCTCTGATTGAAGGATGGTGGGTACACAATGCTAGCTGCCTTCAGGTCTACCTACTATCCTTCAATCAGAGCTCTGCATTCTGACATCACCACAACCCCTGCAAAAGAAACGGACGAACTTGCACTCCACATAGACATTGCCAAGTGGATTTCAACACGTCTAAATGCCTAAACTTCAGACTATTTTGTCACCATGATTTTAATGAAGTTTTGCTAGGTGAAGTATGTTTTCCAGAGCGTTTGCAGGTGCCATACATAAATTTAAAGAAAAAACATTGACTACATTTGTCCTCGGAGTTT